TGACGACTGTCACAGTGCATGGTGGGAAGAGGAGACACAGGCAGACAGGGGTGACGACTGTCACAGTGCATGGTGGGAAGAGGGGACACAGGCAGGGCAGACAGGGGTGACGACTGTCACAGTGCATGGTGGGGAAGAGAGGACACAGGCAGGGCAGACAGGGGTGATGACTGTCACAGTGCATGGTGGGAAGAGGGGACACATGCAGGGGCAGCTTTGCAATGACCTCTAAAGGTCATGGGAAACCACTGCAGATTGAAGCAGCAGTGTGAGTGTGACTACAAAGATCCCTGGGCCTGCTTGGTGGTGGACATGCAGAGAAACCAACAGGCTGTGGCCATGGCTGGACACATGCAGGGGCTGAACGAATGTCAGGGCTGGTTCAGGAGTCAGCAATGACAAACATGTGAGGTAGGAGGGATAGGATGGGGAAAGATGAAGGCAGCCACCGCAGGGCTCCCTTTCCATAAAAGGCTGTGGCTGGAGTAAACAGGGCTGGAGCTCAGGACACCGGCAGGGTCAACGGACAGGGTTGGAAAGAAGATGAGCTAAGAAGGAAAGGGTGACCACACACGAGAGAAGAAATGGAAAAGGCCAGCTTTCAAGTTGGCAGGAGAGAGAGCTCAGCAATCCAAGAGTCAGGCTGAGGAGAGAGACCTACCAACTGCAAAGGAGTGTGGGAGGGGAGGGGGAGGCCTGAGGAGACAGGGTGTATTCTAGTCACACAGCTGACACTGCCTATGCTTAGGTGAACACATAACACACGTGTCAATCTGGCTCCTTCTGGATATGTGTCATGAGACAGCAGAGCTGGTCTTATTATCTGGATGCCCAGTGTCCACAACCCACAGCTCCAGAAAAGCTGGCTAACAAGGAGGACCCTAAGAAAGATGCATAGATCACCCAGTGAAGGAGAAATAGATGAGATCTACATGAGCAAACTGGGGGTGAGGGGGTAATAGAGTGCAAGGGATGAGGAATGAGAACATAAGGGCACGGGAGGTTCGAGCTGGAATAGGGACAGTGTGGGAGAGCAAGGAAAGAGATATAATGATAAATGAAGACATCATGGGAATAAGGAGAAACAGGGTACTAGGGAAGCTCCCAGGAATACACAAGGATGACCCCACCTTAGACTACTAGCAATAGTTGAGAGGGTGCCTGAACTGGCCTATTCTGGTAATCAGATTAGTGAATACCCTAACTGTCATCATAGAGCCTTCATCCAGTAACTGATGGAAGCAGATGCAGAGATCAATGGCCAGGCACCAGCCTGAGCTCCAGGAATCCAATTGATGAGAAAGAGGAAGCATTTTATGAGCAAGGGACATCGAGATTATGATGGAAAAATGTACAAAGATGGCCAGCCAAACTAGTGGAAATGCATGAACTGTAGATCTACAGCTATGGAGCCCCCATAATACTGGACTAGGCCCTCTGGATAGGTAAGACAGTTGTTTAGTTTGAACTGTTTAGGGGTCCCACAGGCAGTGGGATTGACATCCATCCCTGGTGCATGAGCAGGCTTTTTGGAGCCCAGTGCCTATGGTGGAACACTTTGTGCAGCCTTGGTGCAGGGGGGGAGGGGCTTGGACCTGCCTCAATGGAATGCATCAGGCTCTGCTGACTCCCTATGGGAGACCTTGCCTTGGAGGAGGTGGGAATGAGGGATGAGTTGGGGGAAAGGCTGAGCGATGGGAGGAGGGAGGAGGGAGGAGAGGGGAATCTGTGGTTGGTATATAAAATGAATAGAAAATTTCTTAATAATAATAATAATAATAAAAAGAAAGTTATGTGGAGCCACATCCCTATTCTTCCCCATGAATGGAGGATTCCATTCCCTGAGATAAGAAAATGGGGGAATGAAAGATCCCAGCATACTAGCTTAGCCTAACGCCATTTCAAGTAAGGTCTGAAAAGCGCAGGGTGTCTACAGCCGGCCTCCTGGCCCCAGAAAAGGGTACTAAAGGTCAGAAAAACAACTTGGAGCCCCGCAGCAGGCGTGTCAAGCTCGGGGAAAAACCACGAGCTGCCCTGAGTTTGAACCCGGCCTCATTTGAATCGTCCAATCAGA